TATATATATAAATATAGATATAAAACATAGAGCTCTATACTTACAAGCATATATTTCATATAAGTAGGAGAATTTATTTATTTATTTTACCTGTCTCAGTGAATTATTGCCACAACAATGCTGTAACAAACTCCCTCAGACTCATTGGCTCAAACTGAAAGCCATTTATTCTTGCTGCCACTTCTGTGTTGGGTGTCTGCTGATCTGGACTGGAGCCAAGCAGCTCCGATAATGATGTAGATCCAGCTGGGCATTTCTCTAGCTGTGGGCTGGGTTCAGGTCTGCTCCATACTCTTTCTGAGGCCCAAGTTGGAGGAAGGGCAAGAGTTGCCTAAAAAGGTCTTCTCATGGCACTGGCAGAGGTAAGAGGGGACAAGCTCAGCTGGGCAATTGCTTTCCGAGCCTCTCCTTAGGTCATTTCTACTGACATCTCACTGGCTAACAAAGGTAATGTGGCTAAGCCCACAGGCAAGTGAGAGGGAAGTATATTCCATCCATCATGAAGCCAAAGCAAACCACATGACCAAAACCAACATCAGTGGGTCAGGGAAGTGGTGTTCTTCTTAAGTAGACAAATAGAATGAGAAGGAATATTTTTGAGAATAATACAATCTACCACGTATCCTAAATATCCGCTGAAGTACTCTGTCCTTTTCGATTCAAGTAAAATCTGCTTAGAACCCACCTGGACAGTAATCATCCAGTCCATCTGGTAGACCCCAGACCCAGAGCTCCTCCACTCATTGAATTGGCCCAGTGTATGGGTCCTTTGGCCATCCCAGCGTGTTGTCCCCCTTGCATACACACATCCCTTTCCTTGAATCCCCCCAGATAATTTACACAGATGTGCGTGCAAGAGTCTGCCGGACATTTGGGGCAACAAATGAGGTGGGGTTTTTGTGTTTGTTTGTTTTTTTGGTACCAGGGATCTAACTCCAGTCCTTGTGCTTGTGAGGCAGCTGGCGGCACCACTGAGCTAAATCCCCGATCCAGTGAATGAGTTTTCTATCTCTGTGTTTATGTCTTCACATTGATCAGCCCCCTCTCTTTGAGATGCTGTTTGCTTCTCAGCCCATACACAGCCTCTCCCATCAGAGCTTGCTGAAGAATTCACTCTGGTTTCAGAAATTCTGATGGTTTTATCTTGGTTGGGCCTTACCTTTTGCAACTTTGTCCAGCTTTCATTTCATTGCATTCATTCAGCATATTATATCGAACAGTTGTACCCTGGCTTTGATGAATTGTTCATCTAAGTGGGGGGATTAATAATGCTAATTACTATGGGGGGGCTGTGCATTGTAAGATGTTTAGCAGCATCCTTGGTCCCTACTTGCTAGATGCCAGTGATACCAATCCCACTCGCCTTCAATTATGGGCAACCAAGATATCTCTAGACAGTGCCAGGTATCTCCCGGCAGATGAAATCACTCTAGTTGAGAACTGCTGCTCCAACATATGCTAGACTTGGTAAGACCTCCGAGAAACCAAAATAATGTGCTAAGAAATGTTCAGAGGGAGGAATCATCACTTCCTGGTGGTGAATGTTTGAAAGTCTCAGGGGGCTGGGGGCATCTGAGCTGAGACCATAGGAATGACTAGAAGTTGTGATGAGTTTCCTGGAAAAGGGAGAAATACGGGGCACATAGGAGTGAATAGGGGCAGCTGTTTAGGTAAAGCATGAAGTGAAACAGGCAGGTTAGTGGGAGTGTAGGTCAGATAGCTCCTGGAGGTTGGACACTGTGGGCCTTGTACGTTGTTGTAAGACCTCCGCTTCTGTTCCAAGTGAAATGTTAAATGCATCTGCAGCTGTGTTCATTCACCGGAGATACAGTAGGATTTAGAGTCTGTCCTCATAATCCAATGTAATTGCTGCAAAGTTGCTCCATACAGAGGTCTTTTTTCTGACAGAAAGGAAACACAGAAGCCTTCAAAGGGGCGCAGTGTATCCATGTCCTTTTCTCGACATTCCTCACTGCTCAGAAAGTTTCACTCTGAACTGTTCGTTTTAGTTCAAAGTCTGATGGGCCTGGTAGCCAGTGCTGAAGAGCAGATTAGAAAATGGAGGCGGAAGAAAACAAGGAAGAGGGTTAGTATAGGAAGGTGTAGACTCTGCAGCAAATGTCTCAGCATGACAAGGGGAGAGGAACCAGAGCTAAAAATGGATGAGTGAGTGAGTGAATAATTGAATGAGCAAAGTCAGATGAATGAATTAAAGAGGTAAAGCAGTCTGGAGCCCTTTAGGCAGGGAACATCTGTCCCTCCATGGCTCCTGCAGGCATTGCTGGGTTCCAGCCCCACCCTGGCATGCCAACATATGCAATGGTTAACCCGGAGGGAAGTAAGTGAGGTGCTGTAGAACCCACATGGTAAGGCAGATTGAGACTTCCTGGCTGGCATCCTTGTGCCAAGGCCCTCCAACAGCAAACTAGTTACTTAGCCTTGCCAAGTCTTAATGACCTCATCTGTAAAATGGGGATTCCCAATCTGTAGGGTCATTTTGGAAGGTTAATTTAAGTAACCTTTGTGAGTTCTTAGTTCTTAACACAAAATAAGTGCTCCACAAAAGCTAGTGATTATCCCTGTCATTTTACTGGAAGCATGTAGACGCCGAGACTCCACCCAAACCAAAGCTGTAGCTTCTCTTCTGGAAGTCTCAGAGACTTTCTGCAGCACTGAAATTTTTTTTTTCAGAAAATATTTATATCAGGGCCAGGGATTTAGCTCAGTGGCTCTGCCGCCTGCCTCACAAGCGCAAGGACCCAAGTTCGATCCTTGGTACCAAAAAAGAAAGAAAAGAAAATTATATATCATGGCAATGAAAACTGAGGAAAGTTCCAGAAGAAAAGGGACAGCTGCATCTCTTTCATTTCCTTTTCTTTTGGCAGGAGAAGCCAGGCCACTGTGAGAGTAGACAGCAGGCCCCAAGGGTCCTGGCCCCCTGCCATTTCTTAGCAGTGTATCTCCTTGAACAAGATTGGCCCTTAACCCTTTGGCCATGCTGAGAGAAGAGCAGTTATCCTGAGAAGGCTAAGAGAAGGTGAAGCTATTGCCTCCAGATATCACATCCTGTGTTGTGTAAACACAATCTACCTCTGAATAAGAAATGTGCACATTAATGGGATTGGGGGGGAGACACCAAAGCGTACAGTAAGTTAATGGGTATGAACAGTAGAGGTAGCCCCGGGTTGTTTTCCGTTAAGCAGTATCTTCCCTGTGACAAAGCTGGAAACCCAGGATGCTCTGTAATGTAAGACCTTGGCTTGGTTCCTCAGCAAAATGTAAAACGGAGCCTGCCAGGAAGACAACATTGGCTTAACAGGAAGGAGCTGCTCTCTTGCCCACAGGTGGCAGGACAGTAAAGCAACTTGTCCTCTTTTTGTGTGTCTTCCAGGCTGGAGCAGGAAATACAAGCGCTCGAAAGTGAAGAGTCCCAGATATCTGCCAAAGAGCAAATCATCCTAGAGAAGCTAAAGGAGACAGAAAAATCCTTCAAGGACTTTCAGAAGGTGAAGAAAACAAACATGTGTCTCTATCCATGGGGAAGAGTGCCAACAAAATGGTGCCTGTGGGGCTGGGGTGGGGTGGGGTGGGATGGGTGTTGAGGAGAAGTCTGAGCCACAAGTCTGAGCTCACCTGTTACAGCTGTATGAGGACCAGGTGCCATTCCTGAAGCTGAGCGTGGCTTATCTTCAGGCGTGGATCACCTGGCTTGCTAGTAGGCATCAAGAAGAATCATTAAATTAACCCCATCTGCCTGCTGTCCAAAGCTATTATCTGCCTGAAGCCTGAAAAGTCTTCCTCTATTGGTCTCCAGCATTGTGAATCCAGGTCTCATTAAGCAGATTGTCCATGTTGCCTCTGGTTTATTTATACTTTACTTTTGGAGAACTTCCTGTATAAGATGACCAGAAGCAACAATCATCATATCCAATGGATATGAACTCCAAATAGGACAAGTATAAATACATGACGTTTTTCTGTATGTAAAAACAAATGGTGCCGTGTAGTAGAGGACAAAGAATCCCTAAGGCCATTCCATACCCCCGCTGCTGCAGTACCTCATTTATTGAAGAACAGTCTCATGAAATTAGTTTTAAGATGTAATTTTTTAATATATATATATAACTTCAAGAAAACCCAGGACATTGGTGAAATGATTTTCTCTTTCATAAACTTGATGGAGATTTGATATAAAGTGAGAATGATAAACCCTTAGCTGTTCGCTTAAATTTTGGGATCCCAAATAAATTTCCCATCAGAAAAGAGAGTGTGAGAGCCGGGGATTTAGATCAGCGGTTCGGTGGCCTGCTTTGCAAGCGCAAGGACCCAAGTTCAATCCCCGGTACCAAAAAAAAAGAAAAGAGGGTGTGAGGTTTGCCCAGCACAGTTGGATTTGGGGCTGGGCACGGTGGGAAGGGAGGTGAAAATGGGTGGAGACTCACACTCCACATGTGTAGTAACTGCTCTGCCCTGCTTTTCTTTCCACAGAGCTTGTCCACGGCGGATGGAGGTAAGTGTGCTCTGCCCTGTCTGTAGATGGCTGTTTCCTCGTCCGCTTAGTGGGTCTCATGAACACAGGCTCACTGGGAAACATGATGTGTGGCTTTATGAGGGCATCAGACAGAAGGGACAGCACACTGCCAGGGCTGGTCTTCCCTTGTTCCACAGTTCTGGTCCTCACTGCCTCCCTTCTTTAGAAGTTGTCCTTGACTTTCTGCCTCTGTTACAAAACTGGTCGGCTCTTCTCCTTCCTGGTCGTTCCCAAAGACTCACTGCCTGGACCTTTCTTTAAAGGAGCTCAGCAAGGACATGTGCTGATGTCAGGACCAGGTCTCCTGCAGGAATGAGCCTAGTTGCCTTGGTGCCACTATCAAGTTGTTCAGTATTTAACTATGAAAGGCCTTTCTTTCTAAGGCCTCTGGTCTAGTCCAGTCTTTTCTCCACCCCTCTTTTCCTTCCTTTTCTTCTTTTTTTCCTCCCTTCTTCTTTCTTTGAATCAAAACACTGAAGTTTGTAGTTCTGTAGCCTTCCAGGGAAACAGCCAGAGCTTCCCTCCCTACAGGCGTGGCTGAGCCAAAGCACAGGAGGGTGGGAGCAGCTCATTGTCTTCATTTCCTCTTCTCTGTCCTGCCCGCTGCTCTCCTCACCCAGGCATGATGAACTTGTGTCATGGGCTTCCTTGACCTCAGCTGGAACCCATGATTCTCCCTTTCACTGTGGTCCGCACTAGGTCTGCTTTCAAATGCAAAAATTCATTGGAAGGGTCAGAAGCCTGTTTATAAGGTCAGCCTCTAGGCCAAGATGAGGATCAGGAGCCAGAAGAGTTGATACCAGAATGTTTTCCCAGTGTTACTTGGGAAAATATGGGGGGAAATTTAAAAATGCAGTGATATATAATGCCTTTTTGTGGCTGGGGGTTTAGCTCAGTGGTGCCGCAGCCTGCCTTGCAAGCTCAGGGACTCGAGTTCAATCCCCGGTACAAAAAAAAAAAAAAAAAATTATGATGCCTTTTTTTCTGGATGTGCACTAAGGATGGTTCTGAGAAAAGAATAGTTAAGTTTTATGATTTTTTTCCATGCAAGCAGAACACAAGCGATCTGGACCTTGGCTCCCTGGGCAGTCCTTGGGAATCTAGTCCTTGGGAATGTACTAGATTAAACCTCCTGTTCTCGGAGCATGAAGGCAGGAACAAGTTGGGCTGGAGCCAGCAAGGACTGGGGTGGGGGCGGGGACTACAACAGTTCTAGCAACAGAAGCTGAGCCTCTCTAGGGTGTGACCCGGAGGGGCGCTTGCTCTGTGCTTTATGGGTGGACATAGACAGAGGAAGTGGCCTTGGGGACGTGGGGGTGCTGCAGGGAGAAGAAAGCAGACTCCGCATGATCAGCAAGAACACAGCTCATGCCAGGCTAGGCCAGGCTAGGACATTGACCCACAGACATCCACATTCCTGAAGAGAGCACACTGTCTTCTTACACTTTTACTTCTTTATTTCCTTCCCTTCTCAGACTGGGACCTCCCCTGCCTTCTCTCTGGTAATGAGGGAAAGGAAGGAGCCTGCATGTCCTGACTCTGACAGGGTGCTGTGGGGCATGGAGCTCTCTGTAATCTGTGACTTAACCAGAAGTGGAGCTGTGGGATAAACTTTCACCACACCTCTCTCAGTCACACCCCAAGTTCTCCTCTCATCCTTTCCCCCATTCCTTCCCACTGTTTCCACCCGTTCCTCTGAGCTGGGAAGCACGCTGATCAGGACTGACAAAGGAGGTGCCGAGAAAGTCATCCAAGACTCCATCCTCTATCACCTTTGGCTCAGCCTTAGAAGGTTGCAATAATCTTAGGGATCCCAGTGAAGAGTTTCCATGGTCTCACTTATCACCTTGGATTTTGATTCCTGCCATCTGTGCTTCTAGCCAAGCCTGGGAGACCTGTCACACCACCCCTACCAGTAAAGACAGAAGTATAAAGGGAAAAACACATACTTCCAAGAATGTGATCCATGTGTAGGTCGCTCTGTGGTCAGAGGGTAAAACTGAGGCACATCCCACTTGGGGGAACTCCGGGATGTCTGTCTTCTCATTCATTGTTTCAAAGGCTTTGAGTTACCAAGACTTTTTTAGAAGCACCCAACTGTTGTTATTAACAACTAATAAATTAATATATAATAATAACTAATGCCTTAAGGAAGCCCTCAATTTCTGAGTGACACTGATTATAGAATCTAGGCCCAACTTGGATTATATTAACTATGTAGATGCTGTAAGTAATCAACAAAAGCATCATGAGATGCTGCAGAGACAGCTGCTAGTGTGTGCATATGCATGATGGCCCCACTGTAGGCACCCCAGCCGTGCCACCCTGCCCTTTGTCTGAGGAATGCCATGCTGAACACTTCAGTCACAAATGTCCATTGAGTCCACAGAGCCTTGGTAACCAAGAGCAGTTTCAGTCTTGAATAGAATATTTGGGTCATATACATTATGGTTTCCCCTTCCCCATTACAGTATTCTTACATAGCAGACCTCTCAGCATTTGGGTAGGTTATTTTCACTACCCTAGACTACAAATTACATAGAGTGTGTGTGTGTGTGTGTATGTGTGTGTGTGTGTGTGTGTGTGTGTGTGTGCACGTGTGTGCTCTTATCTCTGTCATTTACCCATCAAGGAGGCCTTGGCCAGATTCAGAAAGGAAAATGTCTGTCCTGGGCCTGTTGTAGTCCTTGCATGTGATGGGTTCTCATCCCATGCCAAGCTGGGGTGGCCTGGATCCTTTCCCACATCTATACTGCTGTGCAGGTCACTGGAAAAGTTCAACCTTCAGTTGCCTGTAAATCTTGTTTTAAGGAGATTTTTGTCAATTTTGTCTCCAGTTTCAACTATTTATGTTTTCTGTAGCTACTGTAAAGATTTGGCAGTTCGAGAACCAAGATGCATCCTACATTTCTACTTTGTAAGTGACTGACTGCCTTCTATCTCCTCTGATGCTGGGGAGGATACCATCAGGTCACCCTGACTTTGGCAGGAAGAAGGCAGATTACTGAATGTGGCCACCTACACACTGGGAAGCCTTGTTTGTTATTCACCGTGCTGAACATTTAACCTTAGGGTTTAGTACTTACTGATGTAACGAGGACTCTGCCCTGTCCCCCTTCCATGCCCCGCTCTCCACTGCCTTATCTCTTAACGAAAACCTTGTAGCCTCAGCCCTCCAAGAGCTGCAGCCATGGAACTCACTGGACAAGGGTTCTGTCACCCACTCACATCTGGCCCAGAGCTGCCTCACAGAAGGGGCTGAGTGTGAGCCCTGAGGATTACAGTCTCTTTCAGATGCAGACTCCCCATCTGTGAGTAGCTTTTGCTTCTAGCTGTTAGAACTTTTAGTATGCATAGATACCCTAGAAACTCTACCTTCAGCAGAGAATTTATGTGTGACTTGGCTGTGAGCGCTCACTTGATCTTCTTGGCTTCCCCCTCCATCTCATTTGACTGTAGGAAGTCAGATTTGCTGAGATACCGTTCCGTAGATTCTTGGAAATGATCAGTAAAACTTGGAAGATCTGTTCATCTTCTCTGGCCATCCAGTATCCCTAAACCAGTGGCAGCGAACCCATGGCACGCATTCCACAGCAGGCTGCTTGTATCATTGAAAGCTCTGAAAGGTTCATCATCACTGCCCTAAACTGTCCCCCTAGTCCTAGATTGCTGCGTGCTCTTCCCATGGACTGCTGCTATGAATCTTCTCCTACCCCTCAAGACCAATTCACTTCAAGCTGTTGCTCTCTCTGGTCCTGCCTTGTTATGGTTTGGGGCACACACCACTCCCACAGCTCCCCACAGGGAGAATGGGGAAATGTTGACAGTTAAGGTCAGGGATAATGGAAGTACAGTTCAACATGGAGTGGAATGTCCATGTCCAAACATGTGGCTGTTCTCACAGCCCTTGGCTCCATCCAAGCCTGTGTTCAGGGGAGGTCCCCACAGGGTGCTTCACAGCCATTACTTCACAGGCCTAATTTCCCTCCTTGCAGTGAGGAGATCTTCATCGGTGTCTGTCGTGCCCAAAGACCCAAGCTCCCTCTCACATAAGGTCCCAGAAAGAGAACGCAACTGGAGCTCTTACTTCACTCTAAGGCCTGCCTAGCCTAGTCCTCATATCATGTTTCTTCCCAAATAGTTGATATAAAAAATTCCATTCTAGTAGAGAAGCTCTACCCATGCCCTAAGAACATAATAGTCCAATGTCAGTGTATGCTGGATTGTTCCGATTCGTACATGAGTCAGCAAATAGATTGGTTGGTGTAGAACGAGACGAATCCTAGTGTCTTTTTATAGTCCCTTCCAACGTGAAATTAAAAAAAGTAACCTGCCAGAACTAAGACTGTATCGGTGTGTGTGAAGAGAAAGGGGACATATGAGTGGATAGGAGACAGAGGCCACCCACGGGACTGACGGATTCTAGGAGGGGGAGTGGTTAGGGTGCGCTGAGGATGCTGGGTAAATTGCGGTGCCAGCGAACCAAGAGACGCATAAACAGATGTAGTCACTGGTGAGTGACTGAGACTCTGGGAGAATTTTAACATTTTTACTAGTACATGTTTGCAGTCCATAATCATTACATTCATGGTGGGGAATTGATACCTGTACATAACACATCTTAATTCTTTTAGCCCCGCCCCCTCTACCCTGAGATTCTAGGCTTCAATGACTTAGTCATGATATGAAAAGGAATGTCATTGAGCCTACCTTTCTAGAATCTTCCTGCCTTTGCTTTCCAATTTCTCTCTGGAAAACACCCAGATTCTTCAGTCTCATTGTAGTGGTTTCCTCTTCCTTTCTGACACCTTGGCATGCCCACTTTGAGTCCCTCTTCTGAATGGGCTTGTTAGAGTATTTGTCGGGTCAGAGCTGATGGTTTCCCTGCTTTACACAGCAGCACTTCCTGCTGTTGAGCTACTGGTGAGTTCACTGGGTCTTGATATGTGGGATCTCAGGATTTTTAAACTGAAACGCCA